ATTATATTGAATAATAAAATGTATTTCAAACCATAAAATCGTGTTTTTCTTATCGAACGACAAAACTTATTGAACAACCTGGTATTTTATTACATTCACAGGAATAAAAAATATTTATCTGCTATTTCATTTCAAAAATGTCTAGATGACAAAAATTTGAGAAAGAATAAAATTACTTAAGTATTCTATAGATATGTAATCTTACAAATAAGTCATATAACAACTACATAAATTATAAATTTATATAATTAATATAATTACAAAACTATTTACAATTCATTGAAAATTTTTAAATTTATGTTAAAAGTTAATAATAATCTTTTTCAATTGTCTTTCATTACATGGATCTTATGTCTAATATTTTAGTACTAAATGTTCTCTTCTCTATCAGGATTTATATTTGAAAATTTAAGAATAAAATATTTCTGCACTTTTTAATTTGTATTTACCTTATTTTGATTTCAAAATAACAGTTGAACTATTGCATTTTTTCTTTACAAAAACTTTTTCAAATAATAATACATTGCTATCTATAACATACATAACCTAATACCAAATTAGTAATACCAAACAATCTGCTGGATTTCTGTCAGATGATATTAAGGCTAATTAATAATCCAAAATAAAGCAATTTGGCTAGAAGTAAGTGGTTAAACTACCATCTCATAATAAATTTAATAATTATAGATAAATTTTAAATTTTAATTTAAAATATTCTGGAAGAAAAGAATCAGCCCAAAGTATGATTCAAATCTGCAACTCCTGCTTACCATGCAGTTGCACTGCTGGTTATACCATCTGGACTTTGATAGATCTTTGTTTCCAGAGCTATTTAAATATAACCACACTGATCACTCATGTGCCTACTGATTGGTCTTACTAATATATCAAGTTATTTTATATTGTTATTATATATACATCATGCCAGAATTAAAGTGTAAGTCAGCCTAATGCCATGGAGGACTGAGGATGGTAAGTCATCCCTAGTTAGCACTGAATGACCAGTATAGTCATATTTAAATTAATTAATTGTGTGAGGTTAGCTGACTGGGTGAGTCTATCAGGATCATCGTGCAGTCACAACTATTGTGTGGAAGTGGAAAAAACTCCGAGACAAGCTTTCCATTGTTAACCCATTTAATAAAATTAAAAAGTTCTCTTACAACAATTCTTATAAGGCATAACACCTCTCAAAGGGAGAAAAACAAGGCCACACAAAAAGTCCAAATGTTCCATCTGTAGTTTTTCCTCTTCCAGCAATGTCTGCATGAAAAGTGACTGCCCTGGGGCACACAGCACAGTTTCGAAAGATGTCTTCTTGTAAATGCGTGGACCTGGGCACATCTGGATGACTCTGGGGAGCGAAGATCAATCTTTGGATGTTGAAAAATCTTTTGTTGGTGAATTACAGGATCATTAACTTCCAGGAGAGAAGCACTACGGACCAAGAATGTCATGTCCTTGAATCGTGCATATTTATCAGTTTTTCACGCAAAGTCGCCTTTCCACTGGTCTCTCATTGTCACCTGGTAACAATTCGAAACCTGTTGGAGGGTGCAGGAGTCATGACCTCTCCTAGGTCAATATCACAACTAAACCAGGTTCCTCTCTAACCATGTTTCCCCTGACTTGGGTCTTTTCAGCACCATTCTTCCTTTGTTTTAATATTTTACCAAAAAAACTTTTATTGTTTAATCAAGATCTTAATTTCTCCCTTTCATGTTGTAAAATGAGATTTTTAAGATCTTGTTAATACCCCCTTCAGATGTCCAAGTCGACTCCTGTCCGGGTCATTACAATAGCTCCAGAAAAGATCAGATAGTAGTTAAGGTAGCATAACTGGCAATGTAGGTGTTGCTGATTTGAGTGTTGTTCTAAGCTGATTCTTTTCTTCCAGAGTATTTTAAATTAAAATTAAAAATTGATTTATTTATAGTTATTAAATTTATCATGAGATGGCAGCTTAACCATCTACTACTAGCCAAACTGCTTTGTTTTGGATTATTAATTAGCTTTAATATGGCCCAATAAAATCCAGATCATTTAATATTACTAATATATTACTATTGATCAAGATCACAATTTTATACCAATATTTTAATATACTTTTACTACTACTAATACTAGATTTAGTCCAAATTCAAATCCATTTCTTCATTACAATATGCCAATACATTAGTGGTATTTTCATAATGGTAGCTATTTTTACTTTTATAAAAGCTGAACTAAACAAAAGCTAGGAATTGTAAACATATACATACTGAACAGTTTTAAAAAAGTAGCAATGTCATCTAGTGACAAAAACAGGAACAATGGCAACTGAATAACATGATAGTGAAGATAAGAAAAATTTTTTCTAATATTTAATACAGCAATAAGATTCAAGAATAATCAGTATACAGTCAGTCATCAGAAAATTAGTAACTAGAGTTTAATCTTAGATATTGATAAAAAATATGAGAAATTTAAATGCAAAGTCTTTTGGGAGAATTATTTTGTATCATTTTTGTAAGTTAGAAATATATTGATTAACTAGTTCTTCTGTTGGCAGGTTTCAATAATTGGCAAATGTTGCCCCCAGACAACTTTCCATTAAGTCATTGAAATTTGTCAAAGAAACTGTACTAATGAAAGGTTGATAAAGCGATACTTTTGTCAACTAAGTTAAAAACCAGTTTAGTGAGAAAAGGTATCCATTGTAAGTACCTATTACATCAACCACTCAAGTAACTCAAGATATATATCAATAAAAATTTTTTTATCATATTGTATATCAACTAATACTTCTTTTCAGATTAACATATGTTCAAATTATCTGCTACTAAATAAATTCTAACTACACTGTTATTTTCAAAATTAAAGCATTAGAAAATATGCATGATAATTTCTTAATACTGCATCTTTGAAAAGATGCAGTATTAAGAAATATTCATAATATAGAGAAATATTCATATTATTAATATTTATAATATTAATATTCATAATATTAAGAAATATTCAAATATAACACAAAACGGTCATTAGCAACAATTCTTAAAATAAAAAACTGTTACCATAACAATAACTGTTGTATTCCATAAATGCATATTTACAGAATATATACATATCTTTTGAATAATTCATTTCATTCTTCTAATGGGCAATCATATTTAACTGGCCACTGAGTCAAGTATTTAACCAAAAAAGTTACCTATTATTTTAATAGCTTTAGTATTTAGTTTCAAGAGTGAAATACCAAAAGGAGCAATCAATGAATTCAAGTACTGTGTTGAATCATTAAATAAGTGACACAGAGGAAGGAGGAGATAGAGACGGATGGCTTCAATATCAGGGGGGTTGCTTGATAAATTTGGCATTAAATTTTCTAAACAATTTCCCACCTAAAAAGTAGTAATAATAGTTATTTAAAACATTTTAAGAATATATTTTTATTGAAAAATTAATAAATAGTACCAATTCTGGAATAGTTGAATTTTCTGCACTTTTAATATGATGAAATCCAGATTTTGCTTCATTAATATCAATTCCATGATTTCTAGTTGAACAATCATAATGCATATTATTTGATAAAAGAAAAGAGCCATTTAAACAAGAACTAGATGAAAACACATCTTCAATATAACTGAAATAAAATTTAAAAAATATAACTTTGGAGATTAAAAGAATGATAATTACATTCTTTTGTAATTCATAATATAGTCACACAAAATAATATATTTATGCACTAAAAATCATTATCTATTACAAGTTTACCTCATTAAATCTTGAGGCACACAATCAGCAGCTTTGACATTTTGCACTTCTTGTAAGAATTTATTTTCAAGGGATAATATTTGAAATTCATCAGGGCATATTCTAAAATCTTTGGATGATAGCCTAAACTGATTTTAATTATTTTATTAATGGAGAAATCTATTTTATGCTAAAAAAATTAATCTAGTTTTAAGTTTTACAATAATAAATATTACTCACTGATATGTGAATAGTTAAAGCAAAACTCTGATCACCACCACTTATTAGCTTGTTTATTTGATATTGTTTTGTATCACCATCAAGACAATTTCTGTCTTCTAAATGAATTAAACACATCTTAATCCATAAAAGATCCTATTCATCAATACTAATGTTAAGAATTATACTGTTTATATGTAATTTTTTTTTATTTTTAATAGATAAAAGGTTAAAGACTACTGTTTAATTCAATTCCTTAGATAAAATTTGTTTATTAAGTTAGCTTTCATTTTTTAAATAAAATTTCTACCTCTGAATGGACTATTTGATCTGGCTTTCTTTGTTTCATTCTCTGTAATTTCATTTTGTAAATTATTAGACTCAGGAGAATTGCCTCTCTCTTTAATAATAAAGTCAGATATCACAACTGGAAGAGTATGATTTGTTAAGCTATTTCCTACACCCAACTGTCCACTACCATTCAAGCCAAATACAAATATGCGATTTCCATTAGGAACATATGTCATAGTATGACATCTAAAAAAATAAAAACAATGTTAATCGTTCTAAAATATATAAATATTTTCATAAAAATATTACCTTCCACAGCTGACTTGAGTAACTACACTTCCCATTAATTCTAATACTTTTCTAGGGAGAATTTCGTTGCTTTTTGATCCATGACCTAGTTGACCATACATACCTGCACCAAAAGTAAATACACCACCATCCTAAAATATAATTTTATATATCACATTACAATAGTTATTTGTATATTTTCAGTATAAGTTACTAACCCTAGTCAGGCAAGCTGTGTGATCATCACCACAACTGATGTACTTAATATGATGTGACCGCAAACTCTTTTGATTAACTGGAAAAACTCTATCTTGATCATCATTTAGACCTAACTGTCCAAACCTAGAATGAAATTATTAAAAAATATCAATGTAAATATCTTATGTAACTCAATTTTTTAAAAAATAAAATTGTTTATTCTAACCTTTCATTAACACTTACGTATTTTTTCCCCAACTAAATAAGCCACCTGACTTAGTAAGTATACAGTTATGGTTTCCACCAGAAGCAATATGCTTAATAGGAATACCAATTAGAGAAACTATTAAGCAAGGTATATTCTGATTATTATTATTTCCTATTCCAAGTTGACCATAATTGTTATAACCCCAACTGTATAATTCTCCAACTGAAAGAAATTAGCTTTGTCTATGAACTTTTTCAATAATTTTTGAATAAACATTTCAAAAATATACAAACCACTTGTAAGCGCTAATGAATGATGGGCTCCACAGGAAATTTGAATGACTGTGAACATGGCTAAACGTTTAATCATTCTATAAAGTAGTTTGTAAATTTATTATTATAAGATAAGAGAATTACAAATATACATTTAAAATGTTATAATTCAAAATATAATGGATACGTCTTTNAAAAAAATTAAGAATTATTGAATAACATAAACATTATACTGAACTAATTAAAATAATTTGTTTGCAATTAATTAAACTACAGTAAACAGCGTTATCTCTTACATTTACAAAACGATTCATATCGATAATTTATTGGGTTGTTCGGAAAGTAGGTTCTTTTTTTTACCACTACATGGATTAGTAGTATTTTTTCAGCCATTTTCATTCTAAACTGTATTACAAATATACATTTAAAATGTTATAATTCAAAATATAATGGATACGTCTTTAAAGAAATAATAAATTTTATAAATATTGGGTTGTTCGGAAAGTAGGTTCATTTTTTTTACCACTACATGGATTAGTAGTATTTTTTCAGCCATTTTCATTCTAAACTGTATTATCATTATATATTTTGACTGCTAGCATTTTAAGGCTTATTTGTAAAAAATTTTGTTTGATTCTGTGCAATTGTTTATTTTTTGTGTCCCATCAAATATGGAAGATCAAAAGCAGCATTTTCAGCATATTTTGCTCTTTCATTACCAAAAAGGTAAGAGTGCTGTTCAAGTGAGAAAAAAATTGTGTGACAGGTATGGAGAAGATGTATTGACAGAACAACAGTGCCAAAACTGGTTTACAAAATTCCGTTCTGGCAATTTCAATATTGAAGATGCACCATGTTCTGGATAGCCAGTTGAAGCCAATAAAAACAAAATAAAGGTACTGATTGAAGCAAACTGCCGAATAACAACACGTGAAATCACTAAGAGATTAAATTTGTCAATTTGAATTGTTTATGATTACTTGAAACAAATTGGTTTCATTTCAAAGCTTGATTTATGGGTTCCACATATTCTTAAAGAGAGATGCTCTCTTTGGTTGGATTTTAAGGAATTTTTTTTTTGAGCTTTTACCAGACAATTTAACAATTGATTTGAAAGTGTACTGCCATCGAGTAAACAAATCGAGTAATATCATCAAACAGAAAAGGCAGCCAGAATTGATCAACAAAACAGGTGTAGTGTTTTACCACAATAATGTCAAATTTCACACAAGTTTGGTAACTCATCAGAAACTGTTATAACTTAGATGGGACATGCTATCAACCATATTCGCCAGATCGAGCACACTCAGATTATTACTTGTTCCAGTCTATACAATTTTTTTTTTTTAACTGTAAGACATTTACTTGAAATGGCAATGTCAAAAATCACTTGGATCAGTTTTTTTGTAAGCAACAATCAAAACTTTTATGAATGTGAAATCATGTTACTACCAAAAACGATGACAACAGGTAATTGACCAAAATGGTTACTATATAATTCAATAAAATATTTATTTATTATAAAAATATTGTGTTTTTTTCCACGGAAAAAACGAACTTACTTTCCGAACAACCCAATATATTATTCATATACATGATCTAAAAAAAAATTTTTACCAATGAAAGATACTTTATATATTAATAAATTTTTTTTATATTATAGTTGGCTACTGAATATTTCTTGCAATGACTTATGTAAAGAAATATGAGGTCTTATAATTTTTTAAAGCAAAACAATTTAAAAAACTAACTGGGGAAAAAAAATATGTAAAACTTTTTAAATAAACAAATTTGTATGCAAATGTATCCAACTGTGCTTGTCAACATAAATAAGGGCAGTCTGGTAATGTTTATTTTCATGTCTCAGACTAGTATGGTACTTTTGCATTATTATTGTATTTGAATGCCATGGTGTCAACAAAGTATCTTTGCATTTGAATAATCATATTCTATAGTGGTATGACAGAAAACAGACAATCATTATATTATATACTTTTGAAAACACAGCATTATTATCATTTTTTTTTTCTTGAAACTCTGCAAAGCATCACTTTGAACAGAACTGTACTAAATCACAATTCATCAGAAATTTGAATGAAAAAAACAGATTACATACAGAGTTAATGGATATTATCTAAAATCATTTAATAACTTATGTAGATTTTTACTGTTCAAAACTGAAAATAAAATTGCCATAGTTTACAGCATATAAGAAAACTTTATGTATACATAAAAAACTAATGAATTCCCAAATGACCTTCAGTTAGCTATAAGTACTGTACCTCTATATAGCTTAATTCTTTAATTAATTAAACAAAAACATTTTTATTCAACAGCTAAGCAGCTTTTGCATTTATTCAAGTAGATTACTTCTTTTAAACACCTGTTTTTTCCTGATAAATAAAAGTGTGTATTCTATTTTCCTTTTTTTAAAAAACCAGAATACAGTAAAAAAAAAAACATTTAAGTGGTGCAGGATGGCTTAAATATAGTAAACACTTTTTCCTAAATATTCTGTGCTGAAATAAGACTGTATCTTATATGCTATAAAATATAATACTTAGTAATTTGAAAAGTTTGTTTTATAAATTTCAAGATTACATATACTATTTTGATTCTTAATTAAAAACATAATTAATTATAATTACTTAGGAGAGGAAATGCTCTCTTCTTCAGTTGCTAGCCCAAGTTGACCATAATTATTTGAACCCCAGGAAAACACTTGACCAGCTTCATTCAAGGCTAAACTATGATTGTTTCCACAACTAATCCGTTGTATGTGGTGCACTTGTAAAGCTTTTATTTGTTCTGAAATATTAAATTCATTAATTTAATAGAGAGTAAAGAAATTTCTCCATACCTAAAAACAAAAAACATTATGATTTTTATTAAATTTATACCTAATCTTAGTTGAGATTCATTGTGTCCTAGTTGCCCCATATCATTTCTTCCACAACTGTACACAGTTCCATCATTCAGCAGCACTAATGTATGATTTTTCCCACATGAAATATCTGAAACATTACTTTCCATCAAAAAGTTTTTCCAACGACGAGGAGAATCAATGTAACTCTCTTCTATGCCACCAAGTCCTAGTTCACCATTACTTGTGTTACCCCAACAAAACACTGCAGTTGACATTGTGAAATAGTTAAAATATTTAACACACTATTGTAAACAATAACATGTATGCAAGTACAAAATATCTGAAATTGAATAAATATTCCAATTAGCTTAAATAAAATATTAAGAACCATTTAACTTAATGCTCAAAAAATGCTTTAATAAAATAAACAAACAAAGTTATATTAATACATACTTTCATGCTTAATGATAACTATCAGACCAGTAATTGAAATGGAATTTCAAATAATTTTCATAAGCATAAGTATAAATTATTAGATAATTAATAATTAGTAAAAAAAAATTTATATATATATATGATTCAACAAATATTTGTTTTTATTTATTTTACTCCATTAAAGTATTTTTGGTACTATTTTAGTTAATTTTTTAAATTTAGTATCACAATACTCTCAAATTTATATACATTTGGGAAATTTATGAAATACAAAAAACATCTTGTATTAATAAAACTGAAGATATTTATTATAAAAAGTTTAAAACAGCGCATTTCTATCAGTGGCAGATAATGACTGTCTAATGTGAAGGTTCTGAGTAACTACCACTGTACATAAACTATATACAGTATATACAGGCATACCTTGCCTTACGTCGGTAATTGGTTCCAGGAAAACGACTTAAGTCGAAAAACGATGTAAGTCGAATTTACTTGTCTCCAAATCAACTTGTCACTAGGCTAAACCATAAATTGCCAATTCCGGTTCTGTATTTTAGTTATTAATGCATTACTAATAATGTATGGTTAATAAGGATCTATTTTAAGCTTACAAACAAATAAATTTTAGTTTTTAATATAGTACAGAAAAGAGTAATCTAAATTTACGAATGCATGTACTGTAAATACAGTACATACTTGTAAATGTATATATTTAATGATTTTATGTGCTTTAAACATTTTTCTAGTAATATTACGACTTCAATATTTGTGGCTGACAGATGTAAAGTCGAATAAAATGACTTAAACTTGATTTTTATTTTTCCATATACTTTTTTGACAAACGACGTATAATCGGGAACGACGTAACTTGAAACGACGTAAGTCGAGGTATACCTGTATATAAATGTTGCATTCATAAAATATTTCTTAAATTTAATAAAAATAAAAATTTTGAATCTTAAATTAATTTGTCTTTTTCATATTAATATTTACAGGTTATAGAGTATTCTAAACACGATCTATTTGATTCAGTAACTAATTCCTGCCATATAGTCATATCGTTTGCAGCAACACTAAAAGTTAAACAGTTCAGTGCTGCTGCAAACAGTACAAGTTATATGACAGTATGCCATTTCAAACATTTCATTTTATAGGTGACTGTTCTCTGAGGATAAACATGCACTGCACTGTTTAATAGTGTTGTCAAAGGAGAGCTTGCAGCATACAACCATCTGAATAAAATTGATTTTATTTTATATACAGTAGATCCCCCTATAAGACGGTAGATACGTTCCATTCTTTATGAATCAATTTTGTAGGAATCATAGTTTACGGACTACGGCTGTTTGAAAGGTTTTCTTTCATAAAATTAATCGATTCTAGACTAATTCGACTCAACATTTCCAAAATACGTATATTTTTTTGAAAATAATCCGTATAAACTACGTTATAAACAAAAAATTGTAGGATT